CACTCTGACGCCTGTGTTTAACAGCTCTGGTAGTGACTTAAGACAGCCTTCCGTAATCAAATACATTAATATTTTTGCAGCAAAACATATGAATATTCAAAATAAGCAGGATAAATATAGCCTCACATCAGCTGGGATCAGGCTTCGCCACTAAATGAGTTTGCCACAAACTTATACAGAACCTTTTAGCATTTCAGACTTCATATTTACAAGATGAAGATCATGGCTCTGTACCCTCTTATGTAGTAAGGCTGTGCGGTTAGGAGAGATAACAGTCGATAAAGGTGTTCTGCAAAACAGAAAGTGCTAAAGCTGATTTTTAAGGCACGATTAATATTGCTGCTGGTGTTACCATTTTTCCACAGCACACACTGTTCCAAACAGAACAGTGAGTCAGGTAACCAATGGCTCACACCTGTAATCTTAACTACCCAAGAGGCTGAGATCTAAAGAGAATGCTTCAAAGACAGTCCTGGCAGACAAATCCAAGAGTTAACCAGCCAAAAGCTGGAGGTGAAGCAGTGGCTCAACTCATAAAGCTCTAGCCTTGAACATAAAAGCCAAAGAACAGTGGCAAAGGCTTGTGTTCAAGTCCCAGTACCAAAACCACAAACACAAAAACAGAAAAACCAGAGCTCACTTGGGCATCAGAGATACCTAGAAAATGATGAAAAGGAATGAAGGGTTTAGGGCAATCTGCCAAAAGGGACCTAAACTAAGGTCAATGGCTGTGGCCCTTCACGTGGTCCACCACTGCAAAGAGAGCAGCTGTTCATCTGAGAGAGACAAAGGGCCAGGAAGAACTCTGACACTGCATGGTTCCTGCACCCTAGAGCCAGCCCCAAAAAGCCTCTGGGAAGGGTTATACACAAGAGCCCAGTGAGATGGCCAAATCCATTCTTCATGGTATCGAAGCTTCTCTTCCAAAAGGAACAAGAGCTCCGAATGAGTCTATGCAGAATAGATCCACCCTGATCTGAACGAAGGCTTTTCTGTATAAGATAGAGCATCCTATAGAAACTTATATCCTACTCTGATTGTGCAACACCAACTCCAGAAACACATTAACACCAGCCTGAAAAAACAGAAGGCTATACACAAGGATTATATTCCTACATGTCTATGCTGCTCCCTGTCTGTGTATGGTACATATACATACATATATACGTATATATAATGTGCAATGTTGAGAATGATAAAATACACCTTTCCTAATTGAGCTGGTCCCCAGTCCACATGCAAACTGTTACAGCCTTTCAGAGAAAGAGAGACAGAAACACAGACAGAGATAAAATGGACAGAGCTAGAGCAGGAAAGCCATCTTTGCAGAAGCCTGGGATAACTCTGTCCCTCAGACACTCCTGTAATATGCACCCTGAGGAAGTCAGGGTCTAGAGCTCACTATTTCACCTGCCTAAAGAAGGCAGCAGATTTGACAAGTCTTCTCACTGCCTTCCTTCTGATTCCATTAGTTAAGTAAGCCCTAAGTGATTTACCCAAATGGTGTCTTTGTCGGGCCTTCCAATCTATCTATAACTACACTTGACTTTACGTTTACATCTTCCTGTCCACCACAGAGACCACAATAATACCACAATAATACCTCCACTGAGTCTCAGTCCAGCTACCTGCCCAGTCAAGAGGTTCCCTCACCTCACTCCATCCCAACTTGAGATCGAGTTATGAGGAGATCTATGGATGGGAGTCCATAAGTAACTCCCTCTCCCTGCTTTCTTCCCCACACTCTGCCCTTTGTTCCCCTCTAATGAAAAAACAACTTCTGGGTACCTATTTGGACCAATACCCTCAGCTAATGGCTTAAGATACAATAAACCCAGGCACTGGCACAAGATGCTCACACCTGTAATCCTAACTACTAAGATCTGAGGACTGTGGTTATAAGCCAGCCCAGGCAGGAAAGTTTGTGAGACTCTAATCTCTAATTAAATCACTTTAAAAAAAAAAAGCCAGAAGTGGTGCTGTGGCTCAAGTGGCAGAGTGCTAGCAAAAGGATCTCAGTGACAGCTCCCAGGCCCAGGGTTCAAGCTTCAAGACCAGCCTCCCCTCCACTCTCCCCCCAAAAAAAGATGATACAATAAACCCTACAGCCTGACACCTGGTCGTGGTAACACCTGTGCATTTCCAGCCCATTCCACAGCTTTTTGGCATCAAAATCTCCCACTGGTTTTTCTACCTTGCCCTTTTGTTTGTACTTGTGGTAGTGATTTTTCTTTCTTTCACCTGAACACTGCTCAGACTGCTGATAGGTAAAGACGGTAAGAGGGACAGAGCAATAGTTAAAGAAATGAGGGATCCCTCACATGAATCTCAGAGCTCTGAGGGTGAGGAAAAGGTCTCCCACAAAGTGCCATCTATCCGGGCACTGTGCATTCAAGCCAAGTACAAACAGGAATGTCTCCTTGCCCCGTCTCAGTTTCCTCAGTCCCCCACGGCTGTCCCCCTAAGACACTGGCCGCAGGTCCAGCTCCTCAGTGTAGCAGGCCGACTTTCCATTCTCCCTATCACCAACCCACACAGTGTAATACTGAGGACTGCAGGATCAGTGTCTCCCTGTCACTGGGAACAACAAGCAAACACAGACCTTGGAGGAAGAAGCACGGGGGTAAGAACTATACATACACAGACCAAAACAAGATGGCAGACAGTTGGCCCAGTTGTTCTCTGTGGCTGATGCAGCTCACTACAGCTGATGCAGCTGTAGTGATTTCTGGACTTGATTTCATTGCATGAGCACCGATCTGTGGATCACCTCCATTTTAAAAAGTGCATATAGCTGGCTCAGGACTACAACCCTAGTATTTACAAGACTGAGATCTGAGGATGGTGCTTGAAAGCCAGCCACAGCAAATAAATCCAAGAGGCTGTTTTCTCCAGTTAACCAGCCAAATGCCAGAGGCAGAGGTCTGACTCAAGTGGAAGAGCATTATCCTGAGCAAAAAAGCCAAGTTTGCTATCCAAGGGCCTGAGTTCAAGCTCCCATACCAACACACACACACATACACAAAAAGGGAATACCACAAACTTGAGGAAGCTCAAATAAATACCTTAAACACTCACTACCAGACATAGCTAACTAAACCATCCTCGTGCACTGCAAAGTAACATAGCCAATCCCCAGATGAAAGAGGGCCCCATCACATGAAACCCAGAAATCCCAGGCTAGTGATACCTTTTGTGGTCTATCAGGTAGAGAAAAAAATAATCATGAATGCCGGGCGCCAGTGGCTCACACCTGTAATCCTAGCTACTCAGAAGGCTGAGATCTGAGGATCATGGTTCAAAGCCAGTCCAGTCAAGAAAGTCTGTAAGACTCTTATCTCCAACAAAACCACCAGAAAACCGGAAGTGGCGCTGTGGCTCAAGCGGTAGAGCACTTGCCTTGAGCTGAAGAGCACAGGGACAGCGCCCAAGCCCAGAGTTCAAGCCCCACGACGACAAAAATAAAAAATAAAAATAAATAAAAATAACCATGACCTGATAAGATCCAGTGGCAAGGGAAATGACTTTCTGCCGTACCCCATTTTCCCCCAGCAAAGTGCTGACATAATTCACATCCGGAGAAGATGACAGATGTATCTGGTTAACTTTGGAGAGGGGGTTTCTTCCTTAGGAAAGTCTGAGTGAGAACAAACACTATGTCGTCAATTTCTGAGGGGCACAAGCACCAAGAAGGCACACCTTAGAGACCGTTAATTTTCGCACCCACTGGAAAAATCCGGCTACTTTTAGCTCGGCAGTACTTTCCACAAGGTAAAGCTCAAAGCAGCAGACTGAGCAGTCTCCGGAGCAGGCTGCGGCTCGGGGTGATTAGATCTGCTTCCCAATGCCCCCACCCACTCAAGTCCCCCTACCTAAATGAGCAATAGAGGGATGGGGGGTGAAGGAGAGTGGGTACAAAAGTGGAAAATCCACCCAAGATCTGCGTAATGGAAGGCCAGAAGGTATGCTCAGAAATGCTAACAACGACAAATGAAAGATGGATTTGTAGACATCAATCGAGAGAAGAGGGTGAACAACCAGCCTATAGTTTATGACAGAAACAAGAAGACAAAAGCAAACACGCACTACAGACTTGTTCTGTCCTTTCCAGTCCATATCCAGTGAGCAATCCTGGGTTCTGTGCACAAGTCTGGCGTTATCAAGTCCCAGGGTTAGAACTAAGTCTTGAGTTTGAATCGAGCTCTGCCTCTTAATTCTCTATATAATGCAGGGAAAGAGACTTGAAGCCTGAGGCTTAACACTCTGCCCTCCCAAGCCCGTGGTACCAAAAAAGAAAAAAAAAGCCCCAGGTACCACACTTGCTCCTGAACCAAGCCTGTGAGAAGAACTCAACGAAAGGTTATTTCACAGAGGAGGAAATGGAAGCCAGAGGGCAGCCAAGGCTGGCTGGCAGCCACACTACACTCCACATGCACAGCGCAGGGATAAGGAAGAGACTACACAGACTGCAAGACCAAGGCTCTCAGACCCATCCTGCCCCAGTTCAAATTTACATCAACTTTCGCTAGATGTGTCAGCAGGAACGGACACCTGGGACCTGACCTAAGCATTGTTCAGCCCCTGCCATCTTCGTGGGCTACAGTCAGTGACACCTTGCCTGTACAGAAATCACAGGGTAAGGTGAGGCAGGCGGACCAAGGTCTGGTGACGTGGCCAGATATAGGTCGTGGGGACCCTCCTTCATCCTGAATCACACATACTCCTCTTCATTAATTACTCCAGGCAAAGCAGCGTAGATGAAAACAAAAGTGGGAATCCAACTATGAAGAGGCTGGGTCCCTAAGCTCTCCCATATTTCCCCGTAGCCCCCTTTCCACCCCACCACCCGCTGAATAACTGTCCTCCAGACATCAGCAAATGTCTTCTCTTTTTTTTTTTGGCAAAAGGATACAAAGGAGCCAAGCCCCCAGTCTTAGGATGGGCCAAGGTATGAAGGTGGGGTATCAGGACTGGAAGATAGGTTCAAGTACAAAGCCTACCTGTGTTGTTCCACGGCCTCGTTATCTGGGAGCTCCACACCACACACGCTGCACTGCTCCCCGAGGGGCCGGCTCTCGGACTTCATGCCCACAGCCAGCTCACCCAGCTTGCTGAACAGCTCCCTCTGGATGAAGCCCTGGGGCAGCAGGCCCCCGTAAGTGCTGAAGTCCATGGAGACAGCCAGGGCTGGCTGCACGTGGAGGCCAGAGGTCACGGAAGATGGCACGCTCAACACAGCATCAGCCTTGTGGTTGGGCAACATGGAGTAGAGACCAAGGTGTTTCTCTGCTAGGGGCCCTGGGGGATCTGGTCGCCCTGGGGGGCCCTGGCCAGCCTCAGCTGTGGGGGGCAGCTGCTCAGAACTTTCCTCTCGCCCATAGTGCAGCTCTCTAGCGCTGGTGATGACACTGCTTCTAGTGGGTGTCCCGGGCCCCTCTTTGCCCCTCTCCTCAACTTTGTCTCCCATCCCTCCTGAGATGCTGGATTCCGCTGCCCCAGGACTGTCCTGACCAGGTACCTCGTCTACCTGCATCATCTCCGTCTTCACTTCAGCCACCATAGGGTGCCGCCCACCCCCAGCCAGCATTGGCTCCTCAGGCCCCACGGGAGGCTGAAGAGTTCCCTGCAAGAGAGACTGTCCTATGGTCATCAAACTGTCCACTGCAGCCTTGGTGGGACTCATGGCTGAAAGACCGAATGAGGTGGAGACCGAAGGGCTCTGGTCCACCAGGGGCCCTGGGAGGCTCTGTCCAGCCACACTGGCATACCCACTCTCCTCGCTGGAATGCTTCGAGATGAAGATGTTCTTGAGATACCTAGCCTTGCGGTCCTCTTCTTCCTCAGTCCCGCCATCAGCCATGGTGGCTTCTGTGTCGTTGTCATCAGAGGCCTGGATGGTCTCCAGGATCTTCAGGCACTGCTCTTCCAGGTACTCGATCTCCAGGATCTCAGCGGCATACAGCAGGTCATCCAGGTCCTCCGCCTTCGCTTGCAGTGTGGCCGTGTACGCATATTCCAGAATCTGCTGGAAGGTCTTTGGCGAGAGGAAGTCCAAAGTATAGTGCTGGCTATTGCGGTGGAAGAGGATCTCAAACATCTTGCTGGTGCAGGCCAGCACCGTCCGGTGAGCGTGGAACTCCTGGCTGTCCACCATGATGACCACATCACACAAAGTCCCAGACAGTCGCATCTGGTTGGCCTTGCACAGCAGCCCGGTGGGGTGGCTAGGGTTCTGCAGCTGGATCATATCCATCTTGGTCAAATCCATGGCGCTCGCCTCGGCTCAGGCATGGGGCTCTCTTTCCTCTGTGTTTGGTGTGGTAGGGCAGGGTGGGCTTCCTGGGCCAGTGGAGGAGGGGTCTGTAAGAAAGAGAAGAGGAAAGAGTGATGAGAGGAATGGCAGATTCATCAGTGCTCCTGTCAGAATTCAGCACCACATATCCCCACCCAACCAACCTCCCAGCCACAGGTTCTCAGAGATTTCAATCTCTAATAGAAAGAGTTTCCTGGAAAGCAACACATTTGCCTTCCCAAGCCAGGGATGATGGGAAGAAAGAGAACTTCCTGCTGCAAGAATGTCTGCCTGATTCACAGCTCTGGGACATGTGCTGCATCAAGTGAAATGGAATTACACGGAGGCCAGGGCACACTTGAACCTCAGAGTGAGGCCAGTATTTCCCGCTGAGGAAGTGCTCACACACTTACTAAGAAGGTCTGAACCCCTTCCTTTACTCAATGAAAGCATTCAACTTCATTCTCCACCCCCTGTGTAGCCAACCTCATCTTCAAAATCAAGTTTTTCTGTCACGTATGGTGGCTCATACCTGTAATCCTAGCTATGGGAGAATAAGAGGATCTCTGTTCAAGGGCAGCTGTGGCCAAAAAGGAAAAGAGAAAGGGTGTGTGTGGGGGGGGGGGGGGAGAGTTCATGAGATTCCATCTCAACCAATAAAAATCTGGGTGTGGTGACACGTGTCTGTCATCCTAGCCACGTGGGAAGCAAAAAATGGGCAGACAGTGGTCCAGGTTAGTCCAGACATAAATGTTTAGTTATTTAACACAGTAACTAACACAAAAAGAGCTGAAGGTGTTGACTCAAGTGATAAAGCACCAACCTTAGCAAGCACAAAAACACACATTCTGGGACTCAGCCCCCAGGGTAACCAATATAAATAAATACCTATGCAAATAAATAAATGTTCTTCTATTGCTGTCTCACTTTGATTGCCCCAGGAGACAAGCCAAACCCAGCCAGGATCAGCAGCCTGCTGCTGTGGCCCATTGAAAGTCTCTGAGAAATGGGCTCTCTCTCCCCAGGCCTATCTCTCCACCAGCAGTGCCTCCCCAGGCCTCTGTCCTCCCATGCTACAATAAACACCTGCCTCTCTAGTAGAAGTTAAGACCAGTCGGAGATAATAGGCCTCTCTCTCAACGCCTGCCTGGATCAGGAAGAGGCCTCCAGGGTGCTGAAGCCCTTTAGGGCCAAGACCTAAGGGGCCCAGGTCCCTCTCAACCTAGCCTGGCCAATATTGCAGCTAAGGATCTGGAGGCCAGGGTCTCCCTCACTCTTCATGGGGTTTGGCTGACCTCTGTACTCTCAAAAGACAGCCCAATGGGCTGGTCGCGGCCCAGAGCTCACATGGAAAGGGTTAACGGGGGGAGGAGTGGTAAGGGGGCTGCTGCAGACACTTTGGCTGCTCACCCAAGGGTGGAAACCCAGGCTGTCCTGGGTGAGCTGGCCAACCACTGAACGTGCCTCAGGGCCGTGGGCTTGCCTACAAACATCCAGAGTTTCAGAGAAGTTAGGAGGGCGTAGGGAAAAAGAATGGAGGGTTCGGCTACCCGAATTCCTTCGCCGAAACGAACCTTTTGGGGGTGTCCTGATGGAAAAATGGGGGTGCCCTCGCGGCCGTCTCCCGCGGCTCGGAGCTGGCGCCAAGGTTCAACCGGGGTGGGAAAAAGCCGGCGCTCACCAGCCCCGGGCTCGGCGATCGAGCGATCGATCGCGCTCTCACACACCCCGAGTTTCCAGCGACCCCCGCCGGGACTTGGAGACGACTTCGGCAAACTTCGGCGAGCAACTTTTCCCCGGGAGTCGGGGAAGCCTGGCGAGGAAGGGAGCGGAGCTTAGGAAAGGAAGGAAAGCGAAGAGACGGGGGGCCAAAGGCGAAGCGCGCCCCTGCGGACTTGGACACCCCGGCGAGGGCGGAGAGGCGGCGGACCCGGGGCCGCCGAACGAGGACGAAGCACAAAAGCCCGGCAGCAGCGAGTGGAGGGAGACACGGCGAGAAGGGATCGGCCAGCCCTCCCTCTCCTACCCAGGTCCCCTGAGTCACATCCCCCCACAGACACACACACACACACCCCGGGAAGCGTCGGGCAGAGTCTCGGGCCTCCGCGCGGGCCGCCGTGCCCGACCCCAGGCGAGCGTTCCGGGGAAGGCGGAGAGCGAGTCGCGGCGGAGCGCGCGGGTGTGCCGTCCGCGGGCCGGCTGGGGCGCGTGCGGGAGTGAGCCGGGGGCCTGGCGAGCGGACGGCCGGGCGAGCCGCCGGCGCCCGCGGTGGGAAAGGCGTCCGGGACGCATCAGGTGCAGAGCCCGGGCAGCCACCGCGCGCGCGCGGCCAGGAGCGCACGGCGAGCTCCAGGCGCCACGGCTGCTCCCACTGAGAGCCGAGGAGGGCCCGGGGCGCTGAGGACTCGCGGAGCTTCTCTCCCCGCTGCCCCCCCAGAGAGGAGGCGATTGGGGTGGAATTGATCAAGTCCAATCAAGAGAATCAAAGAGGGGGCCCACTACGGGTTTTTTGTTTTATTTTGGGGTTCTAGGGGGGTTGTTTTGTCTTGTTTTTCAAAGAGAAACAAAACCCAAGCGAGTGCTTTCCACCTCCAGATCCACTCGTCAGCTTCCTCCGGCTCTGGCTTCCCAGCCGGCCAGCGAATAAACACACAAATAAATAAACCACAACCCCATCTCACACCCGCGCGCCGGTCCGCGCACACCGCAGCACCCACGGGCTCCCGGCCCTTCCGCGGGCCCGGGGCGGTACAAAGCCTCCGAGTCCCCGACCCTCGGCTCGCGCCCCCTCACCTCTCACCCGGACGGTGCCCACAGGACTGGAAAGGTGGGAGAGGCAGCGGCGCCCCCAGCTGACAGCCGAGGGGGGGTCCCCCGCTTCCTGCTCGCTGACCCACCCACCCCCCACCCCCGGCACAACCCACCCAACCTGCGCCGGAGACGCCGGCGGCGGCGGCAGCCGGGGAAGGAGCTCGCCCCAGCGCAGCGGCCGGAGCGATCGCGCGCTCCCACCGCCCCCCCCCCCACCCCACCCCGGACCCCGCGCCAGGCCCCGGGGCGCCCCGGCGCGCGGCGCTCCCGGGCGGTGCGCCCCTTCCCCGATCCACCCCCCCCCATCCCCGACTCACTCACTCACCGCTGCCGAGCCGGGCGCTGCCGGGGGTGGGTGTGCGTGCCTGGTGAAGGGGTGTGTGCCAGTGTCGGGGAGGGGCGGGGTGGGGGGGAACTGTTGCTCTCCGTCTCAAGGCGGCAGCGGCGGCATCGCCAGGCAGTTCGCAGTACCCGCTCTCATCACCCTCAACTCCACTCTGAGGCGAGGTTAGCAAATCACCACCGGCTGCGGCGCCTCCGCCGCGTCCCACGTCAACGCCGAGCCCCCTCCCCTGCGAGGCCCCGGCGCCTCTCCATCTTTAGTGCTGGCGGCCGAGCGCGGCTCCCTGCCCACAGCTGCCCCCTCCCTCCCCCTCCCCTCCCCTCCCCCTCCCGCGCGGTCCCCGGACTCAGCCCGCCCACCCCACCCCCCGCGCCGGCCCAGCCCGTGCGCGCTCCCCGCCCCACCCCTCCCTCTCCCTCTCTCCTCCACCCTCCCCTTCCCCGCGCTCCGCGCTCCGGGCTTCGCCTGACATCTAGCTGCTGCGGCGGCGCTGGCTCCAGCTGCCGTCCGCTCCTCGGCCGAGCCCAGAGGGCAGCCGGGGCGAGTGGAGAGGAATGCGAGGGAGCCCTTAATGGGGACACGGGGGGGGGAGGGGAGGGGCCCCGGAGGCCGCAGCCCCCGCCGGAACCCCGAGGTTCGCCTTTCCACTGGGCATGGATTTGATTTCCTGTTCCCCTCCGGGCTTCCAGCGCCCGAGAGTTTTTCGAGCCCCCCCCCCCGCCCCCGGCCCCCGCTTCCCCTGTTTGTTCCAATTAAGCGAGTGTCATCTCGCCTTTCACTTTTCCTGCGGACTCGCGGCTGCGCACACCCCCTCCCCGTGCCCTCAATCGGCTTTGAAGGATCGCCTCCCCGGCCTCGCGGGGCGCCGGGCTCCCAGCGGCGGCTTTGGGAGAGGCTCGGGCGCGGGGAGCGCTGCGCTCCGGCTCTGGTGAGCGAGGTAGCGGGGAGACGGATGGATGGTGGAGGGGGGTCCCCGCTAGCGCCTGCGCCAGAGGCCGAGGGCAAAGCCTAAGAGAAACTTTTTCTCCCTCCCGGGCTTGGGCCTTCCTGCAGCCCGCACCTCCCCCTGCTCCAGCAACCCGGGCTGGACACGAGTCTGGAGAAGCTGAGTCCTGCTTGGTGCAGTTGTTTCCACTTTTGGATCGGGGGCACGGTAGAAAGTTCTAGGCTGCCCCACTTCAGAGGGTAAAGTTGAGATTACTAACCCCATGGTAGAGCAGTCAGACAGAAACAACAAAAATTGCCCTTTCTCGGGCTGCCTAAAGCTTCCTTCTCTCCTTTCTCTGGAAGCTGGGCGAGTGTAGGTGACCAACAGATGGAACTGGCCTGGAACTAAAGTTCTCAGTGTTGGGGTTAGGGGTGGAGAGGCAAAGGCTTGGTCTAGAGGGTCTCCCTGAGATCCTAGGGTCCTAGCAGTTAGCATCTTCAATCAAGGAGTCCGGAGCCTGCGGGGGCGGGGGGGGGGGCGGTACGGGGAGGGGGGTAACCAGACAGTACCTCTTGGTACTGCCTCTGGCACAGCCCCAAACCAAGAGTCAAGTCCCAAGAGCTGCAGGGTCAGCATGAGGGCAGAGGCTGAACAAAGGCAAAAGCCCACCCAAGACCATGCTGATCCACAAAAACTGCTGGTGGGGTACTGGGGTGGTGTGGGGAGGCGAACTTGCGATTCCATCCCAACAGGAGATGCTCAGGTCTCCTCCTTGTGTGGAAAAGGCTGAGACTCAGACACACAGGACCAGCAGAGACCAACAGGCCAATATTTGGAAGTAAAGGGAGGGGGTAGGCTATCTTCTGACCACCAACATCAAATCAATGGTGTCCAAAGAGTTCAGCCCCAGGGTCCTTATTTGGTGACCTACCAGGAGCAATTCCTATTTAGAGACTGCCTTTCCCCCATCCCCCAAGCTAGTCTATGCCCTGAAAAAAGAAAGAGATGTAAAGAAAGCTAAGTGGCTGATATCTGTAATCCTAGCTACTCAGGAGTCTGAGATCTGCAGATCATGGTTCAAAGCCAGCCCAGACAGGAAAGAAGGTAAGACGCTTATCTCCAACAAACAATCAAAAGTCTGGAAGTAGAGGCGTAGCTCCAATGGTAGAGCATCAGCTATGAACGGAAAAAGCTAAAGGAGAGCTGCCAGGCCCCTGAATTCAAGCCCCGGGACTTGAGCAAGAAAAAAAAATAAGAAGGGAAGAAAAGAAAAACAAGCAATCTGGAAGGAAAGCCACAGTGGATGGACATAAGAAGAAGAACGGTCCTAGATGTGTCACGAGGCTGCACTTGTTGAGTCTCTGCTTAGATAGTGCTTGCTGGAGGCTGATGCCTAGTGTCCATCCGCCTGCCAGCCTCTCCCAGGACACGCTCACAATTAACCCCTGAGCCTAATCTCCCATTAATCCTCAAATCAGAGAAAGAATCTCCAGAAACAATGGAAAAGAAAGAAGCATCTCTCATTGGCCCCTGGCTGCCCCTACCCTATGCCATATTCACTCTATGTGAAAATCTCCCTTGCTTCATAAACTCTGCCCATTAAAAAGCCCAGCCCTTGTTAGTAAGTGTTAAAGAGAGATTAATGCCTGAATTTAAGAGGTGGAGAAGGTAACAAAAAAGGGAGAAGGCAGGGGAGGCTGTGGGCTGAGTGCCAGCTCTGGGCCCTGAGCATTTCCACTTAGCGCTGAAGGCTGGCTGCACAGCAGTTTGATAAGGTTTATTGGGCCCAGATAAAGCAGTAGCAGCTCCCCCACCAAATCTGGCACCATTTATAGCCACAACTATGTCCTTGGGTCCTGGAAGGCTGATGAGAATCCCCAGTTCAGAGATTTCATACGGCAGCACCTAAAAACAAGCAGGATGGAAAATTACGAGAAGAATCTCTCCTCCTCCCTCTGACTCTTCTGTGTCTGTTTTGAACATTTTTTGTTGAGTAATATGACAAAACTAGTGCCAGTGGCTCACACCTATAATTTTTACTTCTGGGGAGGTTGAGACCTAAGGACCAGCCCAGGCAGAAAAGTCCTCAACACTCCATCTCTAAAACTACCAGCAAAAGGCTGGAGTGGAGGTATGGTTTGAGTGGTATAGCACCAACAGATCAAGCAAGCAGTGCAAGTGCTGAACTCCCATATTGTACCTGTGTGTATATGTGTGTGTGTGTGTGTGTGTGTATACATGTATGTGTGTAAACTGGAACCTTAGCTCAGCTTTCATGGAAATACAAGAATTCAATTTTAGGGGTTGGTCAAGCTTGAAACAGAAAGAAATGAGCTGACCCTTGGATGGGATTCCACCTGTAAATCTTCCTTCATCTCCTCCTAAGCCCATATACTTCTCACCCATGGCAGCCTTTCTGGACTCAGTTGGTGAAACAGGAGAATCGGCCAGATCTAAGGAATCCTGTGGGACTGGAGATACTGGGGATAATTAATTGCTCACCTTGACCACGTTGTGTCACTTAATCTTCATAACCATGTGTGGGTGCTGTTAGACTTCTCACGTCTGCAGGAAAGCTGCAGCCCAGAGAGGTTACGTGCCTTACCCAAGACTGCAGCTCTATTAAACCTCAGAGCTCATTCTTTAAATTAGACCTTTCTGAGACTGCACAGCTAAGCTCTTAACATCTGGATTACACAGCCTTACAGAAATACATCAAGCAAACAAGGGCTATTATGCTTCCTTCCTTCTCCTCTTACCCACTGAGGCCAGGTCTATGCATATCTCGTCAAGATGATAACCAAGTTGACCCCCAGGTATGCAAGTCCCCAAGGTTTTTGCACTCCCTTTTCCCCAAGCAGAATCTCAGGTAAAAGTTGGAGAGTGGGGGCTGGGAAGGTGGCCCAGTGGTAGAGTGCTTGCCTTGCCTGCATGAGGCCCTAGGTTCAATTCCTCAGCACCACATAAGCAGAAAAAGCCAGAAGTGGTGCTGTGGGCTCAAGTGGTAGAGCGCTAGCCTTGAGCTGAAGAGCTGAGGGACAGCGCCCAGGCCCAGAGTTCAGGCCCCAGGACCAGCATAAAAAGAAAAAAAGGTGGAGAGTGTTTTTTTTTGTTTGGTTTTGGGTTTTGGGGTTTTTTTTTTGCCAGTCCTCAGACTTGAACTAAGGGCCTGAGCAATGTCCCTGAGTTTCTTTTGAAGTACCGTAAAACATCAACTAAACAGATATTCAAGAAGAAAAATAGACAATAAAACTATTTTAAGTATTCTGCCTGAGTGTGAATGGAACGTTGCAACTCCTTGTTGTTTTTTTTAAATTCCAACTCCTCATTTGGAATATATATTTAAACTTTTTCAGTTTAAAAATAAACTTTCTTATTATGATAGCTAAATCGAGGATCCCTGTCTTTGGGGGAGGAGTAGCTACTTTGCATTTCCTAAAACCTTGTTAGGAGCAAGAGAAGAAGCATATTCAGAGAGAGAGGCAGGCCATGAGAACACATAGAAGACGTGGTCTCCCCTGCCATTGTGATCATTAAGGGACACGCCTGGGCAAGTAAGTCCAGGTATGCTCCCATCTTCCCCCAGTGGGGACTTGGGAAGGCTCAGCAAGTCTAAAGTGACTTTTTTTCCTAAAGACACTATTCAATTTCCCCCAGTTTAGGCCATCATTCAGACATCTACAATATAAACATGAATGGTGTAAAAAAAAAGTTAGGCAGAATCTACCCCTTTCATATATTAACTTTTTCCTTTGTGTTTTGCCCTTTTAAATACATATGTATATATATGTACATATATATATATATATATATTATTCTTTCGCATCACTTGATTAAGTGACCCTTCCTTAAAAAGGAGAGGGGAGAAATGCTCACACATGATAAGTGTCCTTTGGAAATTAAGGCTCAGGAAAAGATGCTCTGTGTGTGTGTGTGTGTGTGTGTGTGTGTGAACTCAGAGCCTCAAGGCTGGCATTCTACCACTTGAACCACAGAAAAAGCTTCCAGCTTTTCATCAGTGAGGGAGATAAAGAGTCTCATGACTTTTCTGCCCAGGCTGGCTTCAAACCTGGATCCCCAGATCTCAGTCTCCTGAGTAGCTGGGATTACAGGCATGAGCCCCTGGTACCTGGCTAAAGATTTCTTTAACTTCCATCATTCCCCTTCCCTTGCAGCATCTACAAATCTGATCTTCCCTTCCAAGCACAAATATTCCCTTCTCATCTGTAAGGTATGGTGTGATTTTGTTCCATTTGTTTGTTTTGTCTTTTTTTTTCAAACAACAGCTTGCTATATATAGCTCAGGCTGGCCTCAAACT